GGGGCAGCACCGGCGCCCGGCCCTTTGCCACTGGTGGGGGACACACTTCGGCGGAACGGAAAACCAGAATTGTTCCACGGGCCAGTCCACCGAGGTTCGTGACGGCAGGGGCGAAGCTCGGGGCAGGACTTCCACAGTTTCTGGGAGAGGCGGGCCGTTTTTCCACGCAGTCCCGTCCGACCCCGGCTGATCTGCCTCCATCAGTCTGTAGACTCCGTCCCAAGCTTCGTGAGCAGAGGCTCTCGCCGTTTACCTCAAGAAATGAATAGAAGTAGGAGCCGGGAAAGGCGCTTTTCCTGCCTCCCAGGTCACCTGACCCTCTGAGGGCAGTGGGAAAATAAACAGGCGGAGGGATAAATTATTAGCCCTGTCTAGAGTTAGGTAGGAGCAGAAAGGTAACTGCGATGCCCTTGGTTTGGGTAAAGATAACTTCATGTCTCATAAGTTGGAGAGATCAAATTGTTATCCCTAAGGTCATATTCGTATTGGAATATAACAATACATATACATAATACGGATGTACTGGCATTTCACTGAATTAGTGATTAGTTTCTCCTGTAGGGATTACAGTTTGGACTTTAAAAAAAAGTACATTTAAACACATACTAGGTACTTGGAATTATTTGTATGAAGGAATCTTATTTCACAATTTGGGACAGGAAGAGGAGTTATTCTACTAACTAATTTTTAACTTTTTTCTTCTCTCCTTTGCTACTATTATTATTATGATCTTCAGGCTGAAGTCCATAAGCCTTGGAGAGACCTTCAGCAGTAATCTCCAAAAGTAAGTCAAATGAACCAGGGCCTGCCTTCAACACTTTTCCTGCTTTATATTTTGATTTAACCATCAATAAATGTCAGTTAGTAGAAAATGTATGATTTCTATTTATTTTATTTAACAACCTATCTAATTACCTACAACTGTGTGCTCAAATGGTCTAAAAATTATGATTCAAGGAATAAACGTTTAGCAACTCTTTAAACTTTTTTATGTGATTTTTTTTTTTACTCTTTTCAGGACCATAATGGATATTTCTTCTGTAGTTTTCTTTAATCTACCATAGTAAAAGAGCTTATGGTGATAATGTGAACAGTTCTAATTCTTATAAATGATTTTGTTAGTGATAGTAAAATCATTTATTTTGAGCTCTCTTAATGCAAATAATAAATTTGTTCCTGTGGTTTATTGGCTTTCTCACATCCCACAGTGATTGAATTCTAGAGATAGTAGTCAGCCTCGGACATAGTCACTCCCCTAGTAGCCTCTGTCTACACAGTGCTAGGCCTACCCCTTCCTCTGTGTTTCCTGATGAGGGCATCTCTGAGGATAGTGGGCGGGAGGATTACTCTGAAGAATTTTACTTGGGGGCCAGAAATTTAAACTCTCACCATGGGACACATTCAGCCTGACCCAGCACTCTTAAACCTTTCATCCTGTATTTCTCCATTCTCATTTGTCTTTGCATGTGGGGGCCAAACCGTGATACAAGAGCCAACAAGCAGATCAAAGAATCCACCAAATCTCTTCTGAATACCAACAGTGGAAGGGCTTCAGGCAGCCTTTTGATCTTCCGCTCAGCATTCTTGGTGCCACATGTAGCTCTGCCCACTTGCTGGTACTAGGGGAGCTGCGTCTGGGTCCTCACAGACTGCTCCCCACTCAGCTCCCAGAGCTAAGCTGGTTTTGGTACCAGCCAGAGAGGTGCCTCTCATTTTCTATCTCCACTCACCTGGCTCTGAACCCTTCTCCTCCTTCAGTAGCACCCATCTTGTGTGATTTCCTCTGTGGTCTTGAGCCAGGAGAACCCTCATGCAGCGCCATTGTTGAGGATGTGTTCCATTTCTGCTTCAGGCCTAGGACAGTCACCCCAAAGCATTAATCCCATTTCCCATGTTGGAGTTCACCTAGGAGCTGGGAACACTGCCTGGCCGACACCAGGGAAGTGATACAACTCATATTAACAAAGAGCAAAAGGCTTTCTTTACAGGTATAATTGAAGCCTAAAATGACAGGACCCTAAGCATGCTTGCCTTTTTTCTCACCTATTTTCCTCTTGGCTGCTTCTATATGCTAGAATGCACCAACTTCCTACTTAAAGAAAATTCAGCATAAATAAGAGATGGTGATTACTTAGATTAAAAATAATAATTTGTTGCAAGATCCCTTTAAATATTTGATGCATTTCAAATATTATGTGCCATAAAATTCAGTTCACACATTACCTATTGTGTAAAAACAAAATACCTTTAGGTGGCCATGTATCAATTGTGAAAGACAAAATCCCTTTTCCCAGCAGGCATAAGCAAGGTAGGATGTATGGTTTAAAGCAGGGAGGGAGCCTGCTCAACTTCTACCCTAACTCTGAGCTTAAACTTTCCAACATAGATTGGTTGAGAGCTATTTATTCCAACATTCAGTTAATAACTTTTTTCCCACTTTATCATTCAGTTCTGACCACCCCCCATTCGGAGTTTGTGCCTTGAGGCTTGCCAGCAGGGCTTGCAATACTTACATTAAACTAAATTTAAGAGTAAAGGTGCTCCTGCTGCTAATGTTCTCAGATCAGAGGAGAGCAAAATGAAGGAACTGGCAGCTGAAACTTTAATGGTAGGAAACGACTCAGATATTGAAAAAAAATCACAGTTCATGTGTGTGACAAAGAAGACATGTTCCTCTCCATGTATAACATTTGCATTTGATTTCATTAGATGCTTATATTTTCTAGCAAAAATTGTCTAACCCAAGTTAACATCAAAAAGCATACATTTTACATCACATACCGGTAGCCCAACTTTTGGGGGTGCTTTTACACACCTTGTTGGCTGGATCGAGCTCTGGGGTTTAGTCCCTCTTTCTGTCTACAAGCAGCTCTGTCCTTCTAGTACTTAGAGAAATTACAAGTACTGTGTCCTCATTTTGAAGCTCCTTGGTAAACCTTTCAAGGGCCCTTGTAATTATGTAGAGATCACCTCTGCCACAATGCCCTTGGTAAGCAAAGTGGGGCTCTCCCAACAGTCTTAATTTATAGAGGATGAAATGTGCCAACTGAAGCAAACATAGTCATTGTTTTCTTTCATCTGTTTAGAAATCCAGTAGGGATAGACAGATGAGGTGAAGAACTGAGATGGCCCAGATTTACTCTGTAACATCAGAGGACTCTGGAATATAGACTCTTCATAGCTTCTCTGAAATAGGCTCATGGGAGGTGGGTTTGGGAGAGCCTTTGGTATCCTTTCAAGCCTGTATGTGAGATCTATCTTTACGTTTCTGTAACTTCTTACCATGTGTTCTGCATAAAGTTGTCATTTAGTAAGTTCTGGTTTCCAGGTAACTCAACTAGTTAATATGACATCTAATTAGAAAAACAGATTTTTTTTTTAAGTTACAAAAGAAGTCACTATATTATGAAGTTACAAAGTAGGAGAGGACTAACATTTGCTGTTCAGACAGTGTGCTTTAAAGCTATAACTATATAAAAATAAGTGGACATTGTTTCATGGATCATATCATGCCCTGATAATCTGGGTAATATTAGGATTCCATGGTGTGTAAAACATGACACTGATCTGCATTAGCATTTTCTCTTTAATTATGTAAACAATTATTTTCATAATAATCTTTTATTTCAAAACACAAGACAGCCTGTTTCTATGCTGGATTTCAAAAGGTTTTCCCCTGAGTCTTATTGTTCTTCCACACCCTCCCTCATGGCCTGGTAGAGGAATATGGTACCTTGGCTGTCCATAGCTGGCTCAACCTCAGGCCTGACCACACCTGTCCACCTCCACCTCTATCTAAGCAACCATCCTCTTTCACTCAGATTTCGTAACAACCTCCCAGCTGGCCTCTCTGCTGTCTGCCCTCCTTCCCCTACAGTCTAAGCTCAAAAGAGAAACCAGGGTGAACTTGTCAAGGCACAAGTTAGGTCATGTCACTCCCATGCTCAAAATCCTCCAGTGGATTCTTAGGTTTATCAGAGTAAAAATCAGTTTTTACCATTATCTTCAAGACCCTACACCACTGGAATACTCCCAAATTTTTCTTTAACTTCTTTGACTTTATCTCATTCTGCTCTTATTTATGCCTTCACTACTGGTGAGCATTTGGGTAATTTTATTTTTTACTATAGATCTTATCATCATCTGACATTGTATATATTTTGCATATTTGTGTGTTATCTGTCTTTCCCCCACATCCAACCCTGTAATGTAAATTTTCTGAGATCAGAGATTGTCATCTTTTTGTTCACTGCTGTATCTTCAGCACCTAGACCAGGACCTGGCACCAAGTAGTATTTCAATAAATATCTGTTAAATATATTCAAGGCCCAGGTTGATAGTGCTTTGCCCTGAGTCACACAGGTAGTAAACATTGGAAGTAAGTGATTTAAAACCTAAAATAAACCTTTCAGTTGCTTGGTGAGGCTAAGGGTAGAGGTCAAACCTGGTGGACATGGTGGTGGAATCAAGAGGCTCTGGCCTTTTTGATGCCTCTCTAACAGTAGAAGTGTTCTTTCTTTTGTATCTGAAAGCCCTTGCAGCATGTGACAGACATGTCCACACTTCTTCCTATTTAAGGTAAATTTTAGATAATTTTATTTTATTTTTATTTTTTAAAAGATTTTATTTATTTATCTGAGAGAGTAAGAGAGAGAGCAGGAACAGAGGGGAAGAGCAGAGGCAGTGGGAGAAGCAGACTTCCCACAGAGGAGGGAGCCCGATGTGGGACTCGATCCCAGGACCCCGGGACCATGATCCGAGCTAAAGGCAGATGCTTAACCAACTCCCCTAGATAATTTGATTTTATAGACCCACCTTCATTATTGCACAGTTACCTTCCCCAATGTGACACATTGCATTTCCTCAAGATGGCCACAACAATATCCCCCATCCCATATTCTCTTCATATAATGTGAAGTTGATGCTCTCCCATCAGTAGGTGAATCGATGTTCATTAGCCTTGACTATAAACAGGTTTTTTATCACAGTAGAAGGGATGCTATGTAACTTCCAGGGCTAGACTCTGAAAGTGGATATAGTTTCCACCTGGCTTTTCTTTGGCATATTTGCCTTTGGAGCACTGAGCTGCCACATGAGAAAGCTGAGGCTGCCATGCTGTGAGGAAGCCCAAGCCATATGGGTAGCCACATGTAATGTTCTAGCAAACAGCCCAGTTAAGTTCCCAGCTAATAGTATTGACTATCAGATATATGAGATAAGACACTTACAGATGATTCCTGGCCCCCCCACCATTGAGTTACCCCCAATCTTCTGAGTCTCCCAGAAGAGGCTCAGTCATCATGGTATAGAGAAAAGCCATCCTCTTGTACCCTGTCCTAATTCCTGACCCGCAAAAAGTGTGAAAGATAATAAAATGATTGTTGTTTTAAACAATCTTTTCTGGACCTCTATATTTTGAAGTGATTTGTTACACTATGGTAGCTCTGTGTCTCTTGGGGCAGCTGTCTGCTTGTTGAGAATCAGTCTCAGCATCCATCACTTCTAAGGAAAAGCCTTTATTTGTGAGGAAGCAAGTTTTTAGAAAATAGCAAAGTATGAGCAATTTTCAATTATTGATTGTAACAGGAAAGCAAAGCATGAGCATTTGAAGTCCAAAGCTGTCCTAATAATGTTCACTCTTTAATTGCAACCATGTCCGTTAACAAAATTCATACCAAAGCTCCTGATCATCTGAATCTTCAATTCATTTATCAGATTTTCTCCTTATCCATTTGGTGGTAGAGATGCAGACAAGTAATAAATTGGCCAAAAGGCAGATGGTAGAAGAAAGTAATGAGAAGCAACCTGCAGAATCCACTCACTGAGTATCATTCCTGAATAATAGAGCTATAGCTCTATACACAGAGGTATTCTCAGCTCAGATGACAGACTGTGGATCTCTAATAATGTCTTAAAGGATTCTTTGAAAAATTCATTCTTTAAAATACTGTTTCTATTTTTTTTTTTTGTAGTCTAGAATGACCACCCTGCCCCCGCTGCCCATGACACGCCCAAAGCTTACATCTTTAGCCAGACAGAAGCTGCCATGTTCCCCTGGCACAATTCC